TGTGTCTGTGTCTGTGTCTGTGTCTGTGTGTCTGTGTCTGTGTGTGTCTGTGTCTGTGTGTCTGTGTCTGTGTGTCTGTGTCTGTGTGTGTTTCTGTGTGTGCAAGCCCTGGGATTCATCCCCAGAACCACATAAACAAAATATAATGGTGCACACCTGTGATCACAGCACTTGGGAGTTAGCTGTAAGATTATCAGGTGTTGGCCTGGAGAGATGACTCAGAGGTTAAGAGCAGTGACTGCTCTTCCAGAGGTCCTGAGTTCAATTCCCAGCAACCACATGTTGGCTCACAGCCATCCGTAATGAGATCTGGTGCCACTGTCTGGTCTGGAGGCATACATGCAGACAGAATACTATATAATAAATAAATAAATCTTTAAAAATTCTATTCATCTGTTTGTCCATCTATAACATAGTTGTGACCAGCCTGTCTGGAAACAAGATCCAACCCAAACCTAACAACAATAAAGAAGCCTTAGGAGCTGGATGGGCCTGGCTGCCCCAGACTGGGACAGACCTGCAGCAGTCCACCTGCCTCAGCCTCTCAAGTGTTGGTCACCGTGTCTTCTAGGTTTAGTTTATCTGCACAGTATAGGAATTGTTGAAGAACTGAAGCCATAACAGATGTAACAGGCCCATGCAAAACCTCTCTCTCCCAGCTCCCTCCCTCCTTTTCTTTGTGTATGTGATGCTGACATGGAACCCCCCTGCTTCAAACATACTAGGCTCTGATTCTACCAATGCTGCTGTGTCTTCAGGGTTTGTTTTGTTGTTTTGTTTTGTTGGCTTTTTGAAGCAGGATTTCTCTGTGTGGCTCTGGCTGTCCTAGGACTCACCCTATAGATCAGCCCAGCCTCGAACCTCAGGGAGGGATCCATGTGTCTCCGTCTCCTGAGTGCTAGCATTAAAGGTGTGTACTACTTTGCCCTCCTCATTGTTTTGTTTAAGATGGAGCTTCAGGCCAGTGAGATGGCTCAGCAGCTTAAAGCACTTTTAGTCAAACCTGATGACCTGCATTTAATTCCTGGAGCTCACATGGTAGAAGGAGAGAACCAACTTCAGCAAGTTGACCTCTGAGTTCCACATGTGTGCTGTGGCACTGCACACTCAAAGATAAACAAAGTGGAGGGGATAGGCACTCTGTAGCCCAGATTAACCTGTACCTCACTGTGTAGCCCAGGCTAGTCTCAAACTCAAGGCAATCCTCCAGTCCTTCTGCCTCCACCTCCCAAGTGCTGAGATTAGAGAAGTGAGCCCCTATACTGACTTAAAAAATAAGTTTTTTATTGTCAGGAGATGAGAGCATATCAGAGTGCCACGAGGCTCCACATAGGAAACCGAAAAGGCCACTGGGTCACCCCAAACCTTCTCTCATCATCCTCAAGGGTTGAACCCAATCCAGTGACAATATGGCCCTGTGATCCCCTAATTTCTCATAACCAGCCCCAGGCTTATGGGCAAGTCTTACTTCTGTGACTCTGAGCTTCTACCTGGTTCTCAAGCTCAGTCAGAGGACTCCCAGTGACACTTCCCCTCTTAGCCGGTTGGTCATCAGGAAACTTGACTAAGAAAAAGAGCTACTTACCGTGGAGATGGCAAACAAGGAGTTATCAAAGGACATGTCTGAAACAGAGAAAACAGAGTCAGCAAAGGGTGGGGCCGCTGCCAGGCACCCACCTGCTCCTGTCCCAAGATCTCAACACCCAGAATCCACCCTGCAGAAGGAGTTGGGGTCCAATTTCCAGGGTCCTCTCCTGCTCCTTTCCAGCCACCACAGGGTAGGCTGTGAACACCTAGGGAAGGCACAGGCCTCACCCCTCAGCGTGTAGAGCAGGCTGGGATGGGCCACGTGCAGCCAAGTTTGTCGACTTGAATCAGTCCCCAGCACCCCTTGGTAAAAGGAAAGAATTGACTCCTGCAGGTTGTCCTCGGATCTCCGCACATGCTCTAGCACACTCAGAAATCATGAACAAGTAAATAAATATACAAACGCTTCTGACCTCTCAAGTGTGCTATAGCATGGGCCTGTGTGGGGAATCAGGGAAGGTTTCTGGAGGAGGTAGCATATACACTGAAGCTGGAGGGAAACTGTTCCAGGCAGAGGGCAGAGTCAGTGTACAGGCTGGAGACAGAAACAGAAAGTGGGGACGCAGCAGAAAGAGTGTTGGACCCCAAGAGCAACAAGAGACCACAGAAAGGGTCCAAGTAGCAACAAGATTTTGAAGCTTACTTCACTCAGGGAAGCATGGAGGGCATAGCAGACCTGTGTTGGTGAAGTTGATCTGAGCCCAGCAGGATTCACGCTCTCTGCAAAGGGATTCAGAAGAAAGGGTGCCTCATCAAATAGGACACTTGTTCAAGAACATCCTCCAGAGACCCCTGCTATGGCTTGCTCTTACCACTTGCTCATCCCCTGCCCATCACAAATACCTACCCTCATTTCTAGTCATCACACAGAGTGACAACTCTCTGTCTGTTAGGACCCAGGGACACCTCTAGCAAAAGTCTAACATGACACAATCCCAGCAAGAGTCCTGAAGAATGCCACTTCAAATATCTAGATTTCTGGGACAATATTGTGACAGCCAGTAGCGAGCTGGAGGTAAGGTAGCTAGGCTGTCTGGTCCCATGTGACTGGAATCCAGACCTCAGTATTCACATCTGGGGTTCATCCGGACCACTGGGAGGAAGTGATGAGCACTGGATTTAGAGCATTGTGGCACACAGCAATACTCAATAAATAATTCACGTTCCATGTGTTCATCAGCCCTCCCACCAGAGAACACTGTAGGGGATGAAGGTCTGCCCAGCCAGTGAGGTGCTCAAAGACTACCCTGGAGGGTCTTACCTCTGCTTCTGTAAGTTCTTTATTTTAGCTAGAAGAAAGACAGACATTGGTTAGATTTTTCTGGATCTGTTAGCTGCTGAGAAATGTCTACACCCATAAAACCAAAAACTCCCTTGACCTCTGTGGAACCCAGCCTGACTGCATCCACATAGATCTGCTACTAAGTACCAAAGCTGCTATACAAAGACCTTTCTTGGTTTCTGTTTTTGTGGTTGTTTTGTTTCCTAGGCAAGGGTTCACATGTAGCCTGTTTGTTCTAGAGCTCACTATGTAGATCGCACTGCAGGTAGAGATCTGCCTGCTAAGTACAGGGATTAAAAACTTAACACCAACATGTCCACCTCTTAGTTTTCTGAAACAGTCCTGTGTAGCTCAGGCTAGCCTGAACTCACTATTACCCAAGGCTGGCTTTGAACTCCTGGTCCTCCTTCTACCTGCTAAATGCTGGAATTATGGATGCATTTCTTTGAGACAGGGTCCAGCCCAGATTGGTCTCTAAATCACAATCCTCCTCCATCAGCCTTTTGAGTTCTGGTACAACAGGTGTGTGCTACCATTTCACCTGATACATTTTAGGAGGGTTTTTTTTTTTTTTGAACCTTTATTTACTGTACTATGCATGTTCTTGTATGGGGTGGGCACACACACCATAGGACATATGTAGAAGTTAGAGCTGTGGAGTCAGCTGTCCTACCATGAGTCCCAAGGATCAAATTTAGGTAGGTGTGTTTGGCAGCATGCATCTTTGTCTCCTGAGTGATCTTAATGCCTCTTATTTTTTGTGTGTTTGACTTATGATAAATGTATGTTTATTAAAAAAAACCAACCGGGCAGTGGTGGTGCACACCTTTAATCCCAGCACTCGGAAGGCAGAGGCAGGCAAAAACAAAAACAAAAAATCTTCAAGTTACCAATGTGGTGGCTTACTGCTATAATCCCTGCAAACTGAAAGCTGGGGCAGGAAAATTACTTACCTTTCTTTTTTTTTTTTTTTTGCGTCTTTGTTGTTTGTTTTTTTAAGACAGGGTTTCTCTGTGTAGCTTTGGAGCCTGTCCTGGCACTTGCTCTGTAGTCCAGGCTGGCCTCAAACTCACAGAGATGCACCTGCCTCGGCCTCCTAAGTGCTGGGACTAAAGGCCTGTGCCACCACCACCAGGTGGATTACCTATATTTCAAGGCCAACCTGATCTATATGGGAGATTGAAGGTCTCCAGACCAGCCTTAGGCTGTGAAGTGAAATCCTGTCTCTATAAAGCCAAATCCAAACAAACAAAATCTTCAAAATTGTGCAAACATGTAAAATTATTTTTCTTAATAACTATGAATTTCAAGCTGGGTGGTGACGGCGCACACCTTTAATCCCAGCACCCAGGAGGCAGAGGCAGGTGGATCTCTGTGAGTTTGAGGCCAGCCTGGACTACAGAGCAAGTTCCAGGACAGACAGGACTATTGCACAGACAAGCCCTGTCTCAAAAAATCAAAACAAACAAAAACCATAAAAACATGAATATCTCGCTAGACAATTTCCAATACAAGCCTGTGGCCCTAGCACTAGGGAGGGAGGCAGGAGGATCAGGAGTTCAAGCCACTATCACCTATAGAGCAAGTTTGAGGCCAGCCTGGGCTACATGATACCTGTCAAAGGTGGGGGTGGGGGTTGCAGTGAGGGTGTAACAGTGAGATGGCTCTTCAGGTAACCACACTTGCTGCAAGCCTGATGATCTGCATTGCATCCTTGGAACCCACATGGTGGAAAAAGACAACTGAATGCTGCAACCTCCACACACACACCTCCCCATAATAGTAAGTAAATTCTGCTAGCAAGGAGTCACCACTGTGGCCAGGAGCCGAGGGTGCAATGGAATGGACAGAGCCACTGCCTAATGTACAGAGTCCAGAGCAGTGGTTCTCAACCTGTGGGTCGTGACCCCTCAACAAACCTGTAACTTCAAAATATTTACATTAAAATCCACAGCAGTATCGCCCAGTGTTGGTGGCGCTCGCCTTTAATCCCAGCACTCGGGAGGCAGAGGCAGGAGGATCTCTGTGAGTTCGAGGCCAGCCTGGTCTCCAGAGCGAGTGCCAGGATAGGCTCCAAAGCTACACAGAGAAACCCTGTCTTGAAAAACCAAAATAAAATAAAATAAAATAAAAAATAAAAATCCACAGCAGTATCAAAATACAGTTCTGAAGTAGGAATGAAAATGATTTTATGGTTGGGGTCGCCACTACATGAACTGGATTAAAGGGTCACAGCATTAGGAAGGTTGAGAATCACTGGTTTAGAGAATGAAAGTTCTAGAAACAGTTGGAGGGAATGGTTAAACACAAATGGGACTACACTTTTGTTTCTGAGACCGGTGTCTCTCATAGCCCAGGTTAGACTGGAACTTGCTATAATAGTGAGGCTGACGTTGAACTCTTGATCTTTCTGCCTTCACCTAGTAAGTGCTGGGATCACAGGTATGCCCCTTATGCCTTAATGCAAGAGACTTGAGCCTCCATAGGTCTTGGTGCCTCAGGGGATGTTCTAGAGCCAGTCTAGTCCCCTTGAGTCCCCAGGAATCCATGTGTCAGTCTCTTCTCCCTCCACCTGTAGCCTCTCTTCTGCTGGTGCCCCACTGTTGAATTCTGGTGAAAGAATTCCCTAAACTGACTGTCTCTATGCTCCTGAAAACATGGATGAAAAAAACCAGTCCTGGTGAGGTTGAGAGATGGCTCATGGTTAGGAGCACTGGCTGCTTTTCCAGAGGCCCCAGGCTGTCTCCACAGAGATCCTCTTGCTCCCAGGTGAGAACTAGTGGAACCTGTTATGTGGAGCACACAGGGTTGCTCCTGCAAAGGAGGGACACATAATCCACTATCAGCCCAGCAGGCTGGGAGTGGGCATGGCTAACAGCGTGACCTTTGGGCATCTGGGTGGCTGAGACTACACCAGCTCTTCCCTCAGACCTTTATTGTGAACTTGCTTTTCCCAGCCAATGTACACAACCTATTCTTTTGGAAGGTGTCATGTGTAGTTAGTCTGTAGAACCCATATTAATGGAAGATGTTGTGTGTGCTTTACAAAGAATTTCAACATCGTGCCTTAAACTTTATTGTGCACATGGGATTGAGTTAATCATCACAAGGAAAAAATTCACTAAATTGTACTGTGCTTAATATACCCAAAATAAGCCACTTGGGGCCAGACTTCTGAAGTTTGGACCAACACTGGCTACTTAAAGTTTTGTTGAACTGAACATGCCTCCTAAAGTTCATGATGGCTCAACCATTTGTAACTCCAATTGCAGGGTATCCAATGCCTTGTTTTGGCCTCCGTGGGCATTGTGTGCATGTAGTATGTATATGGGCATGCAGGCATACATAAAATAAAAATAAAAATAAAATGAAAAATTTAAAATAAAACAGTTGTGATATTGTCCATATGGAATTGTAGCACTTGGGAAGCTGAGGCAAGAGGATTTCAAGTTCTAGCCACACACGTGCACACACCCCAAAAAAGGAAAGAAAGAAAAATCCAGTAATAAACAGGATTTCAACATCAGCCTCAATGACATGGTGTGGGAGGGGGAGGGGAGAAGGGAGGGGAAAAGAGAAAAGGAGCTGGGCATGGTAGTACAATGCCTGCATCCTAAGGGCAGAAACAGAGGCGGTGGGTCTCAGTGATTTCCAGGGCAGCCAAGGCTACATAGTGAGACCCTGCCTCAACAGATGAGAGAGGAAGATGAGAGTAGTTCAGAGGCTGCCAGCAGGCCTTGTTGGCTGCATGCCCCATTACCTTTCCTGACCACCACGGCGACAGCCACCAGCCCTGTGAGGAGGAGGACAGCTCCGGCCAGGCTCAGGGAGAGCACCATGATCCAGGTGGGGACTAGAGGGAGAAGAGAATGGGGCAGGTGAAGGAGCTGGGAGGACAGGCAACTGGGGGTGCCTTGTGGAGCTCCGCCCTCACCCAAGAGATGCCCCAGCCAAGCATCTTGAGTGTAGGTGGGCCTGGAAACTTAAAAGAGCCTTGTACATAGTCAATTAGCTGCCAGAGAAGACTTCTGGACCTGTAAGAAAGTTTCTTCCTTCTGGGATGGTAGCCCCATCCCAAGACTGGATTACCAAGAATTTAGAAAATTGAGGATTGTGAGTTCAATGCTAACATGTGCTAGAGAATTTGAAGCCAGACGAGGATACAGAATGTCATACACACACACTCAAAAAAAAAAAAAAAAAAAAAAAAAAGCAAGGGACTATATTCCTCAGAATAGAAAGATTGCCTAATATCTAATATAAAGAAGGTTTTAGATTCCAACCCCAGCACCATCAAAAAAGAAAAAAGAATGGTAGGCAGACAGTGGTGGTGGCACACGCCTTTAATCCCAGCACTTGGAGGAGAGGCAGAGGCAGGTGGATCTCTGTGAATTCGAGGCCAGTCTGGTTTATAGAATGAGTTCCAGGACAGGCTCCAAAGCTACAGAGAAACCCTGTCTTGAAAAACCAAAAGAAAAAAAGAAAGAATGGTAATTTAAAATTTTTATTACATTTATTTACTCTCTCTGTCTCATTTACACACCACACACGCACGTGAGTGGGCGCGCACATACACACACACCACAGTATGAGCTTGGAGTTCAAAGGACAACATGTAGGAGATAGTTCTCTCCTTCCATCATATGGGGTCCCAAAAATGGGCTCTGAGGGCAAGTGTCCTTAACCACTAAACCATCTAGGTGACCTGACAAATGGAGTGTGTGTGGTATCATATATCTCTGTGTGTGTGTGTGTGTGTGTGTGTGTGTATACATACCCACAGAGACCTGGAAAAGAGTCTCAGTTCCCCTCATACCGAGGTTACAGACAGCTGTGAACTGCCTGATGTGGGTGCTGTGAACCAAACTTGGGTCCTTTGGAAGAGCAGCTAGTCCTTTTAAATGCTAAGCCATCTCTCCAGCCTCCATGAAAACATTTTTAAAAAGAGTTCTGTGAGCCTGGCATGATGGTGTTCACCTTTAATACAAGCACTTGTGAGGAGAGGCAGGTGGATCTCTGAGTTCGAGGCCAGCCTGGTCTACAGAGCAAGTTCCAAGATGGCCAAGGCTACACTGAAAAACCCTGTCTCACACCACCACCACCACCACCACCACCACCACCACCACCACCACCACAC